ATCCTATAGAGATGGTTGTTCCTTTAATGCAGAATTGCCTTCACCGCTACCACATGGTACGTCGCTTGGCACTGTAAAATGAAGGAGTGTATCATGCAAGTGGAGGAGGAATGAGATACGAGTTGGCAGCAGACCTCGAGCGTGCAGAGATGGCGTTCTTTACCGTTACTACCTATCACAGCAACCACGTCCCTGATGAATGCAGTAATTTCGGCTGGCAGTTGCATCATATTCAGGCCTCAACCATTTCAAAAGTTGATACCTTTAGGAACCACACGTACTAGTCATGGTCTACGATACCAACCGTCTTCAGGAGTCACTTTTATGTGTATGTGACAAGTTATTGTCGCTGTGTCAATCAAAAGTAAATTGGTGGAGGCTAGAAGGTGAAAGAAAGTGAGCCTGTGGGGGCAAGTATGCCAGCTCGAAGGAAGGACCAAGTCTACGAGAGAGTAGACCTACCAACCCCTATGCCGATACATGCATGTTTTTAAAAGCAACCTCGGCTTTTACTGCTCTCAGCAGTCCAAACATGTGGAAGTGTTTTTACTCTATCGGATGTTCCTCTGTACACTGTAGGCGAGACCTAAATTAAGCAAATCAAATCTCGATGCAAGTTTAAGAAAGATTTATTTCTAAAATGCAACTCCATTCCACCAACCAATTGTAGTAGTCTGTCAAACCTGAGCGAAGGAGGGGGTTTTTTAATTGTTTTATGAAAAGGAACATTATAAGAGCTTAAAAAGACGTTCCCTAATATACGAATGTAGCATATTGATACACTAGTAGCTTCTCGATGTCGTTATCAAGGTCTGGCACTTTGCCACAATGTTCCTTGACGTTAGTGACAACAATCATCGACGTAGATGAGGACCTGCCTCATACGGTTATCAGTTGTGGAAGGTGTCTGCAGTAGGCAGGTAGTATTGTATGCTCTCTAACAATGTTTAGTTGGTGCTCGTTTGACCGAGCTGTCGCTTACTCCCTTCTGTAAACAGTGCAAATTCAATCGATCTGACTAGACAACACCATTGTAAAAATTGTGCGTATTGACCTACAGCCTCTAGTGAACGTATCCACCTCCAGTGGATTCGCGTGGACCTCTTTACCAGAAGGAACGAAGTGACTCTTGCCAAACGCTAATTATCCATGCTTGCACAAGACCAAGACCATAGAGCTATGCATAATCAAGTCCTGCCTTTGAACAACAGTGTCCCTAGAAGTTAACCGGGGCTTAGAAAGGACAGCACAACTTCTAATTAGGGGCAAACCTGCATCCCTTAAGTGGTCTCACATTGAATCAGAGCATTTTACATCTTCTCCTAGCAAAATTTTTGAAAGGCAACATGGACAAGCAAGGTATTATATTAACCAAAATGTAAATGGCTGAATTCTGGCCTGTATAGTAAGCTTCTGCTTGCGTTTTTAGCTCCTCGATTTGTAGTTGCCGTGATATTAACATTTTCATAGCCCATATGATGTGAAGGAAAGATGTTTCACTTGCGAAGTTAATGAATAGTAAAATATGCAGGAGGTAGGTGAAGCACTGATTTCTCCTCAGCCCTTAGAACGATCTAGAGAATCCGATGCACCATGTTCTGTGGCTACTCAGCCATGCCCTCAGTTCGCATTGCCCAATGATTCGCATATTTTTAAGGAGAAGACATTTAAGTCAAACGTGCCCCCTTTTTACCTCTCCACTCAGAACACTTTGATGACATGACAAGAGATTGAATGTGAATGGTGATATATAGGTGCATTGTTTTGACATGT